AAAAATAATAAGGAGCATAATAACAACACAGCAACAACCACAGTCATAACAGCTACTGCTATTTAGTATTCCTAGTTCCAAGCACTTCACCAGGCTCTTTATGTGCATTGTTTTAGTCATTCCCCACAGCAGCCATTCAACATGGTTTTGTTACTGTCTGCACAAAGAATGCATAATCTCTTGGCCACCTCCATTCATTAAGTAGGTGTGAGAGGTAGGATTGGAGCCCATGTCTGTTGTGAGGAGTGCTCTAATACAAGCTAAATCAAATGAATTCCTCTTAGAGAAAATACTAGAAAGATTTTAGTTCTACCTTTTAGGAACATCACTGCATGGCTAACATCATTTGTCTGAAGCATGTCCTGCTCCACAAAGGACAAGTTACTTCTTCAGGATGGTCTTAGGAGGATTTGATGATTTTTGCATTAGCTCCATTCAACACAAATGTAACAACTCGAGTTCATCCTTGCCTAGAGACCTCTCCCAAGAGCATATATAAATAAAAACCAAAACATTATCTACCTAATGCATCCAGTCTGTTTTTCATAACATAGAGACCAATGGACTAGTCTGTGCATCTAAATGCCAGCTACTTCCATAGCATATCCATGTTAGTTTGCATAATATAGGAATGGTAGACCCTTACCTTACTGTTGCTCCTGTTCAAAGACAGTGTAGTTGTGGGACCCAGTTAAAATCTGCCTCTGTCATTCATACTGTGCAAATTTGGGTACCTTGTTTATCGTCCATTTCAGTTGCCTCTTTATTACATGAGATTTTATGCATTCCTGACTTCTTAGGACCCTTATGAAGATCAAATGGGTTCATATTCATAAAGTGCTAAAATAATAAGTACCTGGCATATAATACATACTATTAAAGTGCTGGCAAAAGAACAAACTTTGCTCTCTCTTCCAACCACCACATAGCAGCTCACCCTCCTGTCTTCATCAGCCCCAGAACCCGAAGGCCCCAACGCTGCTCTTGTCCAGAGGAGTAAGTGGGTGAGGGGGCTGGAATGCCAACAGGTCCCTTTTCCTTTGAATCTCTAGGACTGGACTACTACACACTTTGTTGTTTCTTCCCATTTTCTGAGCATCACAAAATGTAATATTCATGTGTCAAGGGATCTAAGATTGTATTTTAACATTTTACTGCCTCTTTGTAATCCTACCTTTTCAATTTTAGTGGAGGCAGTTTTACGACTCCCTTTGATAACCACTTAACTATTAAGACCCAAACAAAGAAGAGAAATGGTCAGAGAAAATCAGGTACTCCCAGCCAACTAGAGTCCCACTTCTTGAACATTATTCAAATTAGCTCTAGGACTCATAATTCTGTTTTTTCATTTATTGCTGCAGTAAAGTAAATGGTTCTTTTATCCAAATGTTATTTCCTGGCTATTAATTCAGTAGTTATTTGGGATTGTGACACTTCTCTTTGATTTAGGGATATAGTACCTTATAAATATTTAAAAGTTGAAGACTGACACTTACAGAAATTGACTTTGATTTGTTTTGCTAATATCTTATGGCTAGAGTAATTAGAGGTTTGGAAGATGCAGTTCCATTATGTTTCTCAGAAGAGATGGGGTGCATGTATCTCTAGAATAAGGAATTTGGCAGCGTAAGTTTATCTCCAGATCTTTCACAGACCAAACGCCTACACTCAGCTCCTGATTACTGTCAATTCTTCATTCCCTGGAACCTAATTTTGAGCCTAGGATATGGGAATGAAAACTACCCACATGTCTCAAAATTCCTGAAAATGGTCATTCTTGAATGGCTTAGAACTTTTTCTGCGTCTACAAGTGCCAGTCAGGGTTTACGGCAGGGCTCAGGGTGATCTATAGACTGGTATGATTTAACTGTGGATCAATCAACCTATTAGGGGAAAAAAAAGACAAGGTCAATAAGGCTGGGGCTTAGTGAACCAGAGGTCAGCCTACATTTTTCAACCTAATGTTCTTATTTCCTTTCCATTAACATTTCATAATGAAAAAATGCCTATATTCTTTAATTTTTCAGACAATTAAGTGAATTTAGCGCTTCTGTAGAGGAGAGGATTTATAACAGCATGAGGAAATACATTATCAATAATCTATGAGATGGGGAACCTGGAGAGCAGCAATGCTGACTCCATAAGTATTTCTGTTCCTTAGTGATGAACTATAAGAGGGTTCAGCTTTCTGTACCAGTTTAGAACCAACTTCTCTCTGGAGAGCAGAAATTCTTGTGCACTTTGGGACAGGGTCTCTATCTCTCATGAAATGGTTTATTTTTTCTGTTTAAATTTTAATTTGAACAAATTACAAAAGTGTAGATCTCCCTAAATGCCTAATATTGTCTGTATGTGATTCTCTGAGACCTGAGAAGGGAGTTGGGTTGTTTCTGAGCTCCCCTAATGAAAAGAAGCAGGCCCCCGCCTGACCTGTGACAGCCTGGTACATGCAGTCACACAACAAGAGAATGAAATCCCTATGTTTGTGGCCACACCCATGCACACAGCAAGGGACTACCTCTGAGTTCACCAAGCTGACTATTTAAGGTATCATTTAATAAAGATAATATTTGTGCTTTGGGATAAAGGTAGCAGGTTAAATACACTCATTTTCTTTTTTCCCTCCTTAGTCCTTGCTAAGACAGCAGTAAAGGAATTTTTAAACCATACATTTTCCTTTTTTTTTTTTTTTTTTTTTTTTTTTTCTATCGGTACCGGGGATCGAACTCACGACCGCCTGCTTGCAAGGCAGGCGCTTATGCTGCTGAGCTAAATCCCCAGCCCCTAAACCATAAATTTTCAAAGCCAAAGTTCTCTTAAGAGTAAAAAGTTTTGGAAGTTAGAACACAGTTGGGTGGAAAATAAATCAGCAAACCCAAGACAAATGAGATAAACCAAGAAAAAGAAAGGTGTGGGATACAGAAACACAAGAGAGACGAAAGTCTCACTGGAGAATGAAGATGACACACCAAACACAGAAGGCAGTCGGTCCATGTTGGACACATGCAGGAAACCCTGGGGGTGGCTTCTCCAGGACATGCATGGAATCCCCCAGGACTTAACATTTCTAGAAGAAACTTAAGACAACTGGTAAAGAGTTTAAGGGTTGATTAATTATAAGTATATAGGCAACTAAGCACACATTAAAGGAGACTATTATTAACTCTGTAGGAAGTCATTATAGTAAATTGTATGACTTAGCTATGAATGTCTTGTACAGAATCATAATAATAAAATGCTGAATCATATCTAAATAAAGCATATGTATCAAGGAATTGAAAAGTTAGCAGAGGAGGCGACAGAGTACAGCAGATGTAGTATAAAACAGCTTAATCTTTATCTCCAATAGTAAGAAGTTAATTGATAATACTTAAAACAGAACATAATAAAAAAAATCACAAGTACCTTACTTTGTCCACATCCACAAAAATCACGTAGATGATTTGAAAGCAGTTGATTCTGGGTAAGAGAAAATTTTTGTACTGGAAGAATTCTGGTACGTTGTATGAGTGAGAATATGTGTGTGTTGATGTGTGTTTTTCTCTGTGTAAGTAGCCTGTAGAGTTAATTTACTCTTAAAATTATATGGATTTTTAATGTTGATTAAAAATGCTTATAAAGCAAAAAAAATAACGTGTTTGTGTGTAAGAGACTCCAAGCAAAGTCACACACAAACAAAGAATATCTGTGAGGTTTGAATTTCACAACCCTTAGTTTTTAATTGCAAGGAGCTATGGTACACAAACATGCTAATATACTAAAATGATTTACTGAAGGGTAAGAACATTAATATTTATAAAATGATAGAAACTGTATGTTCCATATTTCTTAATTATATTTCATTATATAATTAAAGTAATTGTGTAAATTATAATTTCAATAAGACATCAATCATATAAATTGCATAAATATTACACATTACATATAGTAAATTTATATGTTCATTGTTCTTCCATATTGCAGGGGAATAACCAGGTTTGGATTGTCTCTTAGATGCGTAAATTCTGTAGAAGAGCATAGGGAAGAAAAGATTGATTATGTGGTTTCTGAAATGCTCAGAGTGACTGGGGTTGGACTTAATTGCTCAGCCAAAGCAGTTCCAGGGCATAAATTACTCGTAGTATAATTTATACCCAGAGAATAGAGTAGAAATATTAATACAATGTAGAATGATCTCCCGATAGCGTGAAAATATAAAAAGAAATTCCTACACCCAGAGCAGCCCAAAAGATATGCTATACCTGCTGACATCAGCATGAAAATGACGTCCAAAGGCTTTCCCCCTCCCACTTTAGGTTTTGTGGGGTAGTTCATTGACAGCTGCCTGAGATGGGCATTTTGGAAACCTGTGTACGTATGACCAGTATTGTGATTACACTATGAAGTTTGCATAGAATGAAATTAAACAATATAGCAAAATTTATCTGTTCAATGAAACATGCTTACACCAACCCTTCAAACATCTCTACAGTATTTTATTAGGAACATATTTGCAACAGAGCTATGCTGTCTGATCCTTTCTGTCCTTTTGAATACATGTGTAACAAAGAACATATGCAAGCTAGAGCATATAAGGACACCAGAAACAAGGCAGTGTGGTATCTTCCCATCTCCCTCTCCTGAATAACAGCAATTAAAATTCACAGCTGCTGGCTTCCCAGATGTTTCTTGCATTTAGAGCTCTGTAATATGCATCAGAATATATTGTCTGACCATAGTTTCAGTAAACTAGATAGTTTTGTATTCTAAATTCTAGATCCATCGTGTATATTTTATCTTCCTATTAGCTTCCCTCCCCCTCCCACTTCATTTGCTTGGGGCATTTGCAGTTCAGAAACAAAAGACATTTACAGCTCAGAGTTTAGCTGTATCAGGGTGTAAGCGCAGGTCAGGCCTGATTTATGTGGCACTTCCAATAAGCAGGGCGGGGGGGGGGGGCAGGACGTGGGGTTTGGGATATCTGGTGAACCTGGCTCGACTTATGTCTTTTGCTTTTTTAGGCAGCTAACATCCCTCTGGTGTCAGAACTGGCCATTGACGACATTCATTTTGATGACTTTTCCCTTGATGTTGATGCCATGATCACAGCTGCTCTCCGGATGTTCATGGAGCTGGGGATGGTACAGAAATTTAAAATCGACTATGAGGTAAGACATGATATTGGGTGATCCCAGGAGCACACCTGGGACAATGTGTCAGATGCTCTGAAAGGCAGGTTTGTCAAAGACAAAGTGAGGGTGATTATCCCTGCCCTGAACACTCATGGGACTACCTTGAGATTCACATTGAGTGTTGATGAAAGGGCTTTGACAGTGGTCTGCTGGTTATGCATCCAACTGCCTGACACAACCTCTCCCCTTCCATTCCAGACACTGTGTAGGTGGCTCCTGACAGTGAGGAAGAATTACCGAATGGTTCTGTACCACAACTGGAGACACGCTTTCAACGTGTGCCAACTGATGTTTGCAATGCTAACTGTAAGTGTGGGCAGTGATGGTAAAAGGTCACCTTTTGTTTGAGAGGACCTTAGGCCTTCTCCTTTATGTTTCCACTGCTCTGAAAAATTGCCATGTGACTATTTTATGGTAGACCTTACCTGCCCTGGTTATGGGAGTATATATTTGAAAACAATTTCTGAACTTTAAAAGCTGTAAAATTATTGACACTTTGAGGCAGATGTAGCCTTGGAATGAGAACTTGAACCTTTTTTTCATTGTTCTTTCTTGCTAAACTGGTTCTTTTACAAGAAAAATGCTTGGATGCTCAATGTAATCTTTTCTACAGAGGAAATGGAGATGACGAACTGAATAAATCAGCCCCTAGAAAAGAAGCTATGAACTACTGGAGACCCTCAGTAGGGAGGTGGAAATCCTGAGAGGATGCTTATTTAAGAAAACACCCAAGGAGCCTACAGGAGAAAAAAAATGGGTAGGAGTCAGTGCTCTCAGCTTGAGAAGCTCAGTAGACTTAAAACCTTGCCCCTGGGCTCTAGCCCAGTGATGGTGGTGAGGCTGTTTGATGAGATAGACAGCTAGAGTACTGGGCCAGAGGTAAGCCTTGGAATTAAATCTGAAAGCAGACATTTTTGGCAAAGATTGTAGCGATCCTGTATTCAGCCTCTTTCTGGCAAAAATTATGGCTTCTTTTCCCTTTATTTCCATTTACATTGTTAAGGTATCATCAGGGAGAATGGTTTCTGGTTTACATATGCGAGCATCTTTGGCCTCAGAGTTATATAAGCATGTGTATAGAACATGTATGTGAGTATCTATAAACATGTTTACCACACCAAAAGGAGAATGTGACTTCTGGAGTCTTAAAATATAAGTAGAAAAACCTCGTATCTTCACACTTTAAAGTGTAGACACAAAACAAGGAATTCCAAGTACAGCATTTCCTTTGGTCCAAATCTGCTACTCCAGAAGAATCTCCACCATGTTCTCTGCCTGTTCAGTTTTATTCATTCTTCAAGGCACTGATCTAATGCCAGTTTTTCTACAGTTTTTCCTTTTCTCCCAAATCATTGATAATTGCCTTTCTCCATACTATAGAGTATAACACATCTATCTATCTGCTGAGTATTTTAAGTTACCAATCCCTCATTCTCCTCTAGAGTAAGCTACACAAGGAAAGAGACAATCTCTTATTATTTCAATAACATTCACATATTTGCTAAACAGGTTTATTAATGGCCCCACCAGCACCACGCACTCTGTCACGTACTTGGTAGGTTTGCAACAAATGTACATCGGATTGACTTGAACTCAAGTGTTTGCATGGTATATGGTGATGGGAAAGCATGGCACATGCCTGTAATCTCGACACTGTAGGAGGCACTGTAGGAGGATGAGAGTATGAGCCCAGCAGCAAGACCCTGCCTCAAATTTTTTAAAAGGGCTGGAGATATAACTCAGTGTGAAGGAGGCAATCCTCAATACAAAAAAAAGAGGAAGAGGAGGAGGAGAGAGAAGAGAAGAGAAGAGGACAGAAGGATGAAGAGGGGACCAAAATGTCTTCAGTTCCTGCTTGGGGACTTGTTCTGTGGGTCCTCCTCTGTTGAAGGAACAGATAGGCTCCCCTGGAGGCCTGGAGTGGACTCATCCCTTGTTACGCACACTATCAGAGCAGGCAGCCAGTCCAGGGTGGGATGAAGATGCCTCGAGTCGGGAGGCAAACTGCCGACATTGCTTGGAAGCAAACACTATTTTGGTCTTCCTCATCAGAGCTCAGTAGGAAAAACCATGAACTTAGTGTGCGGAGTTCACGTGTCTGGCTCATAGAGGGCATTAACTTATTAATTGTCTGTTTGGAGAACTGTGGCTTTATGGAACTGCCAACATAAGTAGGCAGAAACCGCGTCCACAAAGGAAAGAGGATCTGCTGCAACATTGTGAATTAGTGATGTTAAGCACATTTTTGAAAAGTTTTCAAGTAGTCTGGATATGGGTATCTGGCAAGAGCAACAGACTGCGCGTGAACCCTTAGGGTAGAAAGAAGCATATACTCAGTTTTTCTCAGTGACTATTCATTCATGTTATTCACAGTCTTGATGCTTTTTAAGAAAACGAGGAAAACAGAACTGTCAGGCTATGTGACCACCACTGGCACCTCATACCATCAGAAATTTCAAGAGTGCAGCTATTTTTACAAGTGCTCATCAAACTCAGACTGTCATTGTTAGAAAAAAGTTTAGGTTTTGTTTTCGTATTCATGCTACTGCAAAAATAGAAGAGTTTGCTGTTAACGTTTTTTAAGGGGAAATGGGGAGGACTGTAAAAAAAGTACAGTGATGAATATGATTTTTTCATCCTCACGCTGATTTGTGTAGCCACATCTGGAAAAGTTATTTTCTGCTTGTTACATTTTTCTAAACTTTAAGGATTGCAGTAGGTTGAAAATGTTAGTTTGCCTCTAACACATCCAACTTAACAGTGGACAATCTGGTTAACCTGAATTCTTTAATTAAGAAAATAATTATGAAGAGAAAAACATTACCAGATCAATGTAGATGAAAATAAATTTAATTTACAGCTCAATTCTAATTTGTGAAGTATCAATTCAGCCTATGGCAAAATGATACCCAAATTAATTGTACTAATGTTTCAGACACCACTGAAGACTATCAGGGACCTTTGTTGATTTAATAGTATGAATGATTCTATCTCTATTCAAGAAATTTCGCATTCTATCTACAAGTGATGAGTTAGAACCAAAATTTTATATTCATGTGAAAAAAGAATTCGCTGCACACCCGCCTGGGGCCCAAAGCCAAGACACATGTATGCCTTCTAAATTTTCCTCTAGATGGCGCTCCAAGGCAAAGTTTCCCAGCCAGTTGCCAGAAAAGGGTGGAAATAAACTTTATGCGCTTTCCTTAAAAGTGCTTTTCACCTAGCACAGAAGATTCTGAAGCACATCCCAGCACCAAATAAATATTTTTCTTACAAAACTGACCAACGAAGTCAGTCTGTCTGAAAAGAACCTGCTATCAGGGGCCCAATTTATGAGGACAGCCTCTGTAGGCTGTCCGTGTGACCTTAAATACGTGATTGTCTGTTTTCCTAAATCTATTGTCTGGGAAGAGGAAGATGCATGGCTGTGTGTCACTGCTGAGCAAGGATTTTGGCACTGTGAACGACAAGGCAAGAAAATTATAGTTATATACACCAGCTCCCTAAACTTCAACTCTAAAATCTTGCCACACATGGAAAATAAGTTATCGTCTCACAATTGCATTTTGCAGAAGCATTCAGGCTCATATATCTCAGTAACAAAGCAATTTTGTCACTTTAGCAATTAAAACTGTAGGACAGGCAATTTGGTATAAAATTATGGACATTTAGTTCACTAGGAGTCATACTGATGACTTACTAATTTGCTCCATGTATCTGGCCTGAAATTTCACATTAAAAAAATGAAAGTATCAATTTGCTTCTAAATGGATATTTAAATAGTTAAAATTTACCAAACTTTGAATTCCTTTGATAAATACCGTAGTGTTAGTTATTATTTCTAATTAAAATGAAGAATAAAAGCCTATGGATCAATGAACTATATACATTTTCCTTATTTCTAAGCACATGTAGAATAAACATTCCCTCAAGCACAGCCATAGGAAAGATGATGGACACATTTCTTACATTCGTGATGTGGACCAGATACAGAAAGGCACCGCGCTTTTGTTTGTATTCTGTAAGATAAAAAGCATGTAATAATGCTAGGATTGCAAAGACGTTTTTCAGTTTTATAAATGATGTATGAGCTCTGACAGATTTTTCGGTGGCAGGAGGTGGGGCGTCCTTAAGAGTCAGTATTCTTTACTATCCCATAAATGTACTCATTAGCACTTTGGGCCATGCCCTGCATCCTGTAGGAGCTCAATAAAGATTAATTGAATGAGTGAATTTAGTTTAGGGTAATATTATTCAAGGAACTGTGCTGCTTGGTGTCCAGTTTTAAAAAAAACAAAAACTATAAAATGATGAACAACTATCACTGCTAGAAATCCTGTTTTTCCTTCATATCGCACTAAGGTTCAGTGAGGGTTCATATAGAATATTATGATCTTGCAGAATTCACTAGATATGAAAAGAGAAGAGCACATGATCACATTAAAATTTATGGTGGTGCTGGCGGCATGGCGCTGGTGGGGAACTGCCGTTAAACACTAATAATAACCAAGTATCACAGCAAACACATTGACACCCCCTGACATTTACTGGGAGCTTCTTAAATCTTAAATGTGGAGGTAGCATGTTTAAGTCCATATTCGTGTTGTCAACAAGGTTATTTTCAGAGATAAGCCAAGCCATTTTATTGATAATTCTAACTAGAGAGCAGAAAGGGATGGTTGAGGAGAAAATGCAACCTATTCACTAGCTTGAGGAGAATGTGCTGTGTGCTGCCTGCAGTCATTGGAAAAGTCCTTGATTTTTGAGGTAAAAAATTCCTTCTGGGAGGAGATCATAGAAAAACAATTGGAATTTTTTTCTTTCTCCCTCAAAAAAAAAAAAACAACAACAACAACTGAGTTTTGAAGAACATTTTCAATCAAAAGCAAATTCTATTCTCAATAGCAATGAAATTCCTATGCAAATTATGACATTTGAAGGCCCAAAGAATCTAGATGTTTTATTCTAATAAGCAATGATATTTGTAATAATCAAACATAGTTTTCATGCTGCATTTTCTTGTCAATACAAACAGTAACTATTCATATTTACTTTAAAATATGTGACAGCATTATCACAACAATACGGTAAAAACTGCATGTTAGAAAAACCAGTTCTTTGATCTTCCTGTAGCAGTAACTTAAAACATGGCAAATTTTTAACTTAGCAAAGGAGTGACTTTAATGTTGTTGCTGAATATCAGCAGTGGACACTATACTTACAGGGCTAATCGATTTGAATCCTGTGTTTAAATTATACTTAAGACTCCTATCTTTTAATCAAGAAAGAAGGCTCCTATTTTTATT